AGTCAAGGACAACTTTGTCCACTAACTTGTGCAGAGTGAAGAGATCTTTCAAACCATAACAGAATGAGCACAATTCAGTCAAGGACACCGGAGAAAGAAGCAAAAAACCATGTGACATTGACCTGAACATCTCCAAGAAAATCTTGTTCCATTGCTCACCTACCTTCACTTTCACCTAATCCTAAGATCCTAAAAGCTTTCCTAACAACTCTTCGTACTAAAATGAACCCTACTAAATTCCAAGCAAGAGAAAACAAAATGAGGCAAGAATAGCGAAGAAAGAAGGGAGAAGAGAAAGCGAAAAGTAAAACTCAAGACTGCTGTGTCACTTTTAAACCCAAAAACTTTGCTGTCTGCGCATGCCCGAACTTCGTAAGCTGATATTTTGCATCTGGATCAGAAGGCCGTGAAGTATACGACCCGTAAACCGGTTTGTGGTAAGTTTTAGCTCTTTGTAGCACAAGAGTGACAGGAAAACCACTCGACTAACTTCAAAACACGTTTTTCGGCAAAATCTCCAGGAGCGAATGGGTTAAGCATTAAGTACCAAGCTTTTTGAAAAAATCCACTTTTCAGAAAAAAAAAACAACCAAATCTGTCTATTTCATGTAAAATCAGGTGAAAAAGTTGATAAAAGGCCACTTTTAGGTTTTTTGATTAACTACCATAAAGAATGCCGTGTTAAGGCTGCAGGTGGTTCGTACCAGTTTTTACCTGTTTCGACGGCTTAACTTTAAAAGGAAAGAACAAATGAGCAAGCCAAAGCCATAGCAGCACTATGACAGGGTGATTTCGGTGGATTTTTTGTGAAAGTGAAAAACAGGACATAATTGCGCCTAGTGGAAATGTTTTCCAGTTGAATTTTTACTCTTTTCTCGGACGTTTCCTCTTAACTCTGACAAAATATTAATTCACGCAATAGAAACAGTGAGTCATCGAACTTGTTTTTTTGTAAAATGCTTCAAGATTTCAAAAAATGCCACCCGTGGTTTTGTGCTTGTAAAATCTGAACTCTACAAGATCACGGTTTTTTCATGCGCTGTCTTGACTGCCACTGAACGTCAGTGTACTCTTGCTTACAGAGCTCGAAGGGTAGGGAAGGAGAAAAACACGGGAAGAGTAAGGACGTCAGTATGGAGACTACAGGCTAGCCGGCCGGCCCTGTTTTCATCAGGAACAAGAAAGCATTAGCCTAGAAACGAAACCAAGAAAACAACATTACAAAGAAAATAGTTCATCATACTTTCGAGTTTTACTCGTGTTTTTGAATCGCCGGAGAGCATGATAAGTCATTTCTTCTGCAATAAAACTAATGCATTATTAGATTCTATTTCACCACATCATTTAAACTTAATTAAGGAAGTAAATGGACGGTGATTTTTTAAACATGGAAGGTTTAATGCTGTTTAATGCCGTCATTAAGACGAGATAAATTTATATATAAGGGCTTGCAACTTCCTTTGTTTACAAAGAAGAGTATTTCTAAGTACAGATAAAAGCACTGCTGTATTTCCTATTGTCTTGGAAAATGAAGAGCCAGTTTATCTTTGCTTTTGCAGCTCTTTTGATGATTGCATCGTTGATTATGGAAGGCGATTGCTTTGGTGGCCCCATTCGGAACAACAGGGGAAACGTAATATACTGGAACGAAAACATTCTAATACGACTTGGACAATTATGTCCAATCGATTTACTAAAAAAAAAAACGCACGGAAAAAGCATATAGGATAAGCCTTTTCCGATTTTCAAAAACTCACTTTCAAAACGAGGATATGTGTAAAACCTTTCCTGTTAAAATAAGATTTATTTGCATGAGAATCATTTTTATATTATTTAAGGTGATTCGACCCAGTTATTTTGTGAGGGTACCATCCTACTTTGAAGCTCTCTGGTATCCCCACCTTTACTTTGATCATAAGTCCAACATATAGCATGGATAACATTTTGATTAATCTAAAACGTTATAGCATAAAATTTTTGGCCATCGGAGTAAATGTCACGTGGTTATAGTGCACGCCTCTTTGGGGTCTGAGACGAAATTCTGCTGTTGCCGGCATTTTTTCGTGAAAATCTCTCGGCTGCATATAGTTCGCATTAGTGCGTTGCGTTGACCAGAGTTTCACCAAATCGCAATGAATAGCTAAAACTATACTTTCTATATGTTGCATTGCTCGAAATCGCGCGTATTTATAAGGCCCTAAAGCTTTTTTTGCTGACTTGTAATGACCCATCTGTTATAAAGATCCCCAAAATAAAGGGATAAATCTCATAGTTTATTAGATATTATTCTAATCGTGTAAAGTTTGCTTATCATTTTCACATAAATCATGACCTAAATTTGGAAACAGCTCAATTTCTCGCATTGGGTCTTTGCTATTTTGGTGCGGAAACTCTGGTCAACGCAAGGCACTAATGCGAACTATATGTAAGCGAGAGATTTTCAAGAAAACATGCCGGCAACAGCAGAATTTCGTCTCAGACCCCAAAGAGGCGTGGCACTATAACAACGTGACATTTACTCCGATCGCCAAAAATTTTATGCTATATTGTAGATTGATTAAAATGTTATCCATGCTACATGTTAGACTTATGATCAAAGTAAAGGTGGCGATACCAGGAGTTTCAACGTAGGATGGTATCCTCACAAAATAACTGGGTCGAGTCACCTTAATAGCTTCGCACTTAGCCCCCGCTTTGAAACCGCCTTGAGCAACGTAACTCGAAATAACCCATTTCCGTGACACAAACAAAAAGCAAGGGGCACACATACACCAACCCTCGGCCTGGCCAGTGCCTCAAAGATGCACACCGACATATCCCCGTCTAGTGGCAGCCATGGATAGCTGTTTCCATGCCTCTTATAGACACAGGTATTGATTTGATATTTGACCTGATTTTGTCAATTTTTTTCTTTTTTACCTCTAACAACTCAATCAGAGGACAATGCAGATTTGCCGTGCAGCAAGAAGCCTTGGCTGCAGGAATATAGAACAAGAAGTGGCTGATGATCCCATGAAAGAAGAAAGGGCTCGACGTGAAGTAAAAGAGAGGAGTTTTCTGTTGTGTCTAGTTGTGTTTTCTATTGTGTATTGTGTTTTCTTTTGTGTCTAGTCTGTCATGATACATTACTATTCGGGCGAGAGAGGAAGTTCACGCAGAACAGATTGAGTAGCATTTCTTGATTTTTTTGCAAAGACACAAAAAGCTCGAGAATTGATTAAAAATCGTGAGTTATACATCTATCTATCACGCGATCGCCTGTCTCACTGTACCAAAACTTATCATATCTTGGTGAGCATTCGGAAGTCAGCCAAGCGCGGTCATTGCATGCGTGCTGAACAAGAATGCTGTATCATGACAGAGTAGACACAATAGAAAACTCTCAAAGCACAAACTCAGCCAAAACTCTAAAAATCTTCAATGTTTACTCAAGTTTGGGCTTATAGGAGGTAATGTCACAGTTTTTCAATGACCATGAAATTCAGAATCCGGGTAGTTAGTTAATCAATTGTGGCCCTGAAAAATTTAAAGGAAAAAAAACTACGAGTTTTTAAGAAAATGCTTTTTTCGTGAGAAGGACTCTAAACGCTGACAAACGTCAACAAATAGCTAAAACTATAATTTCTATATGTTTGCTTTGCTCGAAATCGCGCGCATTTATAAGGCCCTAAAGCTTTTTGCTGACTTGTAATGACCCATCTGTTATAAAGATCCCAAAAATAAAGGGATAAATCTGATAGTTCATTAGATATAATCGTGTAAAGTTTGCTTAGGGATGGACCATTAGAAAACTTATGGGGGGGGGGGGCGGCGAAGTACAAAAAAAAATTTTCGCGCAAGGGAAAATTAAATGAAAAAAATTTCATGCATGCCAATTAATCCTAAAAAATATTCATGCTATGGCCTGCAAAAAATTCATACAAGGAATTTGATAACGAAAAAAAATTCCTGCGGCTTGAAAATTCCCCTCCCCCCACAACTTTTCTAATGGTCCGTCCCTTATCATTTTCAAATAAATTATGACCTAAATTTGGAAACCGCTGAATTTCTCGCAATGGGTCTTTGCCATTTTAGTGAAACTCTGGTCAACGCAAGGCACTAATGCGAACTATATGTAGCCGAGAGATTTTCAAGAAAACATGCCGGCAACAGCAGAATTTCGTCTCAGACCCCAAAGAGGCGTGGCACTATAACCACGTAACATTTACTCCGATCGCCAAAAATTTTTGCTATATTGTAGATTGATCAAAATGTTATCCATGCTATATCTTATGATCAAACTAAAGGTGGGGATACCAGAGGGCTTCAAAGTAGGATGGTACCGTCACAAAACAACTGGGTCGAGTCACCTTAATAGCTTCGCACTTAGCCCCGCTTTGAAACCGCCTTGAGCAACGTAACTCGGAAATAGGCCATTCCCGTGACACAAACAAAAAACAAGGGGCACACATACACCAACCCTTGGTCTGGCCAGGACCTCAAAGATGCACACCGCCATATCCCTGGGCAGTGGCAGCCATGGATAGCTGTTTCCATGCCTCTTATAGACACAGGTATTGATTTGTTATATTACCTGATTTTGTCAATTTTTTTCTTTTTTACCCCTAACAACTCAATCAGAGGACAATGCGGATTTGCCGTGCAGCAAGAAGCCTTGGCTGCAGGAATATAGAAAAAGAAGTGGGTTATGACCCCATGAAAGAAGGCTGAGCTCGACGTGAAGTAAAAGAACGCTGACGACAGCCATCCAATGATCGGACCAACCACGGATTAAAACATAAAATATAAATGTCAAATGTAACATTCCAACAAGAAACTGTAAACCATAGAAAGTGCGATAATTAATGAATAAAAGCGATTAGTGGTAAACCTTTATCTGGGCTTCTCTATGAGTCAGACAATGGTTAGTTCTTAGTTGGCAGATTTTAAAAAGTCCTACCAGTAAAATTGCGGTTGTATGCTTCGCCCCTTCTACTTCCGCGTTCCTCGCTTCACAGGGCAATGGACAGGCAAACGAAACAACAAAGTCCCATAATAACAAATTCCCTCCTCCCCACTTACCTGCCCTTAACCACCACCCTAAAAAAAGTCAAATATATTCCTCTTACTCAGGTTGTTTTTTTCTGGATCACAGTCGTTTTGACTTGAGCTCTTAAAGTCGTATCATAGCTTTTGTATTATTTATTTTCGAGTTAAAATCAAATTATAATATTGTATGGCATTTTACGTTCTGCAGTGTTAGCAAAAATCCTTTTGTCCTTGGCATAGAAATTTTTAATTATTACAGCCTCCAAATCCTTCTATTTTAACCAAGACCAAGAGTACATTCTCTCGCTGAAACAAATGTTCTAATCGATAATAATTTTGTTCTTTGCTAGTTTCCCAATAATAATTTACATTGCTTTGAAAGTTTCGACAAAAATTGCCATTTGCTTCTGGTTACAAGGTAGATGTTTGTAAATAAAATTGATTTTAAAAATAAAAAAGCATAAATGTAAAAAAGTGGAAGATCAGTAGGTAACCACTGAAAACTAAGGAGACTGGTTACGAATAGCCTGTTCATGATCATCAAGGGTCTTAAATAGTTCAAGGAGACAAAGACTAAAACTCCGGTGAGGGAATTCTCTGATGATGACTTTATATACGGAAAGGCTCCGCCCGAAAGAGGTACCTTTTTTCACTCTTCATTCAAGTATATGAAAGAGTAGAGAAATCTCTTATTTCGGTCTGTAAAAGGACTCAAAAGGCCTGTGAGATGCTTTAATGTCTTTTATGGCTGTGAAAAAGTAAAAAAAAAAGAACCTAAAAACGTTCTGGTCTGTGGATTATTCAGATTTGAAAAACAGTGCATTTAAAAAAGTTAAAAGAAGACGCAAATTTCTTTAATAGATACGTGAAACTGGGTACAATTTGTCAATAGAAGGTATACGAAAAGGGTACCTTTTCTGTCAAAAATGGCATATAAAAGGGTAAGGGGTCAGACCACGGGTCGGAGCCTTCCTGTCAAACTTTGTTGAGTTACCCCGGGGAATTCAAACAGTTCCGTACAGTACCTTTCCATCAAGATTCCTAGTTAAGCAGTCGCCTCATGTAATCAACTATCTAATAACAGTACAGATTTGCCCTCTCCACTACCACTGGTCACCAGTCCATCTTTGGGTTCTGAGAAAATAATGTACGAAACATCTGCGAGAATCTTTGTCAACTTAGACTGCTTTTTGTACAAGAAGGGCATGATCATTGATTATACCATTCATTCGATACAAATGTTTCTTCCTTTTCATTTGCCGAGAGCCCACCACGTGACCTGCAAATATCTGACTACAAATTATGTGTCTGCTCATATGCAATGACGTCCAACTGTGTTTGGCTTAAGTGTTTGGCTAAGTTTGGCTGCAATTGATATTCTGCTCATGCGTAAATGAAACCACGCTTTTCTCCTTCTTGTGATCGCTCTTGCGTAAAAATGGCAGATCGCTTCGTTTCCCGAAGATATTCATTAAAAAACAAATTCGGTCACCGAATGATAAGACAGATCAATTATTTGCTTCAGCCTTCGACTTCGGCAAATAATTGATCTGTTCGCCACTGACAAATCACGATATTTCTCTCATTGACAACCTCATCGAATAATTGTTAATTTACCAAGGTTGGGATATGGTGTGCACAAGAACAGTCTAAAAATTCAGTAGCTGCATAAACGGGAGAGTTTGCAAAGATTGGCAATGCTTTTAGCGTGAACCACTCAAACCAGTTTTTTAATTATCGCCCTATAAAAGGTCAGAAACCCAGATGCAATTTTTACCTGAAACTCAGGGCCTGAAATCCCAACTGATCAGTGATTCAGATACTATTCACACAGCGGAAACATATGGTTGATGTGCTAGCTGAAATTCTAGTTTATGTTCGTCTAATCGAGGTAGGAAACAGCACTAGTTTATTAACCAGAAACAAGGTAATATTCTTATGAACGATGAAAGCTAAAACCTCTTTCTTAAGGTGACTCGACCCAGTTTTTTGGGGGGGTACCATCCTGCTTTGAAGCTCTCTGGTATCCCCACCTTTACTTTTATCGTAAGTCGAACACATAGAATGGATAACATATAGATCAATCTACAATATAACATAAAATTTTTGGCGATCGGAGTAAATGTCACGTGGTTATAATGCCACGCCCCTTTGAGGTCTGAGTCGAAAATCGGCTGCTGCCGGCATTTTTTGGTGAAAATCTCTCGGCTACACATAGTGCGCATTAGTGCCTTGCGCTGAACAGAGTTTCACCAAAATCGCAAAGACCCAATTCGAGAAATTCAGTGGTTTCCAAATGTAGGTCATAATTTATGCGAAAATGATAAGCAAACTTTACACGGATTATATCTAATAAACCAAGAGATTCATCCCTTTATTTTGGGCATCGTTATAACAGATGGGTCCTTGCAAGTCAGCAAAACGCTTTAGGGCCTTGTAAATGCGCGCGATTTCGAGCAAAGCAAACATATA